AGGAGGTTCGACGAATCAACCGAAACAGACTGGCGACGCGATGACAGTCAGAACCGACATCGACTGCACTCGACATGCTCGCGTAATGGCATGCCGCATGTCCAGCAGCCCGAGGCTGAGCGGCAGGGCTGTCGTTTCTACACCAACTACTGCATGAACCCGGGGCGACGGATTTGCCCTTCTCTCCAGCCACGGTATCCCGTCTAACGACCGGAGGTAGCCCGGACATGAGGTCGACATCCCCTTCGAAGCCAACAACGTCGCGCAACATTGCGGTGCCCTTGAGTGCAATCGACACACCAACCAGTCATCCAAACGTCGGTTGGCATTACGAGTGGTTGCCTCAAGATCACACGGTCAGACTCCAAAGGTAAACCATGCAAAGAGGACATCGATATTCGACGTCGGCATCGTGAACGGGGCTTGCTGTACATTGTATGTACAATGCGAACATGACGTGGGGAAACGACGTACGAGGCATAGCTATCGCAACTTGCCTCGGTTTGGAGCGCGTGGTGCAGAACAAGCACGTCCAGATGGCATTGTCCGTTCGTGGGAAGAATCGGGTGGTTGTGGTGAAAAATCCACCCAGTGAGGCAACTCGTGCAAGTCTCGCGCCCATGTGGACGATAGATTCTGCTTGATGGAAGGCTTCGATGGAAGCATAGGCGAACCCGGCGTACGTCGGCGGGGAAGTTGTCGCCAACAGAGGAACGGCTCGAACCCATGGCGGTCACGAGCGCATCTGTCGTGTATGTGCCGCACTCGATTGGGACGGCTCTCGTTGTGCCGGACTGTCACCACCGCAGCAATGCGTTTTCGACTTCAATCGAGTCGACCACCCCCATGACGACGTTGTTGCGCCATGGCAACTAAAACCAAGTCAACTCTCACACCGCAAACGACTTGCCACATCCTTTATCCTCATCTGGCGTCCTCTGGTCGTTATTCGAGCCAGCCACTGTGGGCTATTTGACACTCGGCCACGGACCAAGCCAACACACTCTCTATATCGCTTTGTATTCCTCGATACATGTTGTCCCTGAGTAGTTGGCAGTGTTGTCCGTGTAACGAGTAAGGTATCGCATATCGCGCGCGCAGCGCCACGCGTATGGGTAATATTCCATGGCCGGTCTACCCACGAATACTGACTTCCGCACACGGACGTGATGCGGGGTCGAGTGGTGCGACGATGCCGCCAAGGCGAGCTTCGACCGTGTTCGTGAGCAGCAGGTGCGTTTCAAGGCATTGTGGGACCGATGGCTGCACGTATTTGTCGGCATTTGACTTGATTCACACTGAAGGGGGTGCGAGGACGTCGACTGCCGACACGACGACGCTTGGTGGCATGGACAAGATGCGTTGGCTATGGACCACATCCGCCATAAAAACTTGCGCACCCGTGTGGTTGGTGTGCGACCAGCAGAATACGCTCGGCACGGTTGGGCAAACAACGTCGCTGCACACCACAAGCGTCCGGTCAAGGAGATTCCAACCAGCAACTCCAGCGATAGCATCCACGAATGTGCTTTCGTGTCGTTGGCGACAGGACAATAATGGTCCCAGCCTGGCGCTTCGTTCGCAAACGCTCGCGACTGGCGGCAATTCATGTTGCGATCATACCACGCAGCTCCCTGTCACTGCAGCGACGTCTGTTCAAGGCCGATGGGGGGGTTGCAATGTCGCGCAGCTCGCGTCACGCAGATCTTGCCACGCAGAGAGGACATTTCAACTGTGTGAGGTCGCATGTTGAAGTGGACGACGTACTCCGGGCATGCTGGGGAACTAGCCTGTGCGTTAAGGGGTCCACCAACTCTTGAGTTGTGGTGGTTACAATCCAAGCGAGCGGCGGCGGAGGAATCAAGCTGTGGCGAGCAGGGCAAGTCGAGAAGTGGACCAAAGATTGACCCGATGTTCACTCGGCGTGCAGAATCGGCCAGGACGATGGCAATTCCGTCCCGCCGCCGACTCCAACCAAATGTCGTTGCGGCAGCATGAGGGATTGTCCTTCCAAGTGCACCAATTCGTTGTGTGAAGGATGCGATGGCGCTCTCTTCAAAGCAGGTTGTCCAGCATCTGCTCGCTCTGTTTCGTTACCGTGGCCACTTGCATCAAAACGACCGAACTTGCCATCACAACCAGATCATCTCGTATGGAACCCACAACACAGTCATGGCCATGTAGGTTTCGACAAGTCCTTTAAGTAGTGCAACTACTCAACGGACTTGGTGGATGATGTCCAATGCGCCGCGGGCCGCAAGCTTCACTCGAACCGATTCGTCGGCGGCAAGGCTCGCGACTGTCTGAAGCGCTTCCGCACACAGCAGCACGTTTTCCGATGATAGCCAATGCAAGATCGAGTCCAGGCGGTCGTCGTCTTCGATCGGCAGCCCACTCGCACCCATCTCTTTGACCAGTCGTGAAGCGTGCAACGCACATGACTCTTACAACCCCAGCGCTCATCAGGCTCGCCTCGGGTAGCTAAGGCAGTCCGGGAGTTGGCGGCGCCCTGGACATGTTCATCGCACGATCCATCCTCACCATGCCACGCCTCCTTGTGAGCCGGTCGATCGGGCGATCACTAAAGCAACACATCGATCGTGGACCGTTGCGCGGTGGCTGTGCGATCTTGGCCAAGTCTGTACGATACATCGCTTGCCATTGGAAGTGTAATTTTAGAAACAGCAGTACCTATCCACGGCGTCGTGAGGATGAAGCAGGCCGTGCAGGTACTGTCGCAGCGTCTGTCGGAAGTGCTGCCGGCGATGGGGACGACCGACATGGATCCGCTTATCCTGGACGTCGACGAAGTCGCAAATTCGTCGGGCCCTGCGACGTCGGTTTTGCCCGTGCCCAGCACGGCAGTTCACTTGCACCCCGACGTGCAAAAGAAGCACCAACGCGTGGGGCTGTACCTGCAAGTCATCGGCGCGATCTGCCTGAGCTTCATGGCAGGTACGTCCTCTTCGTTACGGTTCGACCTCAGCGCGTGCAGTGCTCGTCAAGTACACATCCCGCGCGATCTCGGTCGAATCGCTCGTGTTCTGGCGGTCCTTCCTCGCCCTTGGGGTGAATGTGGTACGAGTTTACGCGATCGAGGCCCAGCATACCACCAGCGGCTACGATAGACGCTCCAACATCACTTTGGCATGCCGTATTTGACCATCTTCCTCGATGAGCTTCGATCGACAGTCCAACTTCACAGCGTCTTGACCTACCTCGTCACAACCTTGTCATTTCATGCAGTGGCAGCCATGCCTGTGTCGGATGCTAGTGTTGTGTTAGGATCGACGTCGGTGCTGACGTGCCTCGCCGTACGTTGTCGCCCGACCGCGACGCCATGGCTCACACTTGTCTTGTCAGGGCTACAGGTTGCTCCAACTGGACCGCCACTCTTCGCACAAGATCGCGATCCGCGCCACAGAGTGGATTCTCGGAGCGATGCCCTTGCTGGGCCTGTTGTTCGTCCAAGGCCCTTTGTGCCTCCTCCCAGACGCTGCGTCGTCCGCGCCACCACCAGGCCTCGCTTACGTCGGCGGTGTCACGGCCGCCATGCTGTCGGGCGTGATGTGGGTCGTCATGCCGCAGCTTCATGACATCTCGCCACTACCCGTGATCACCCACACGTTGGTCTTGAGTTCAACCGTGTCTGGTCTGAAAAGTGTCATCTTCCCCGAGGTAAGGGTCCAGCCATGGCGTGACCGCGATCACGCTGATTGCATGTTGCACAGGCCGTCGTGCCCACCGACGTCGTGTCGCTGCCGCGCGTAGTCACAGAGGTAGTTGTCATGGCCGCCTTGGGCAGCATCGGCCAGATCAGCGTCACACGAGGATGTCAGCTCTACCCGATGGAGCCCCTCCCCGTGGTTCCATTTGCCGCGGGGCTTGTGAGCATGCTCGTGCTGGACGCGGTCGTGTGCAAGGAGTACCTCCCCGCGGGACCCACGATCGCGGTTGTCGTTGCTGTCGGCGCCACCGCGTTGCTCATCCTTCGAAAACCAGCCTCCGACGTCGTGCAACCGGTCGTTGCAGCGCCAGAATAAGAGAGATGCATGCAGATGGACTGTACTATGAACGAGTTGGTAGTCGTCCCCGCGCACGTTCGGGACTTGTCGAAGAAGACTGAGGTCGAGTCGCAGGGCTCGATGGCGTGTTACGTGTGTGCCAGGACGCGCCCACGATTTGTCGAGCATGCAAGGCGCTGCGTACATTCGTACCAGCAAACGACGTCGCTCGTGCAAAACGTGCATGGGACATCCAGCAGGTCGGGAGAGACTTTTCACTGCAAGTACACACCGGACTGCATGTTCACGACCGTGCACCAACATGGCGGATGGTTCCGCCAGAGTGCATCCAGACTCGACCATCGATTCCATCCAAAAACGACGCGTTCGTGCATCGTGTTATATATCAAAGAACGCTCGCAAACCTTGGCGGAATGCGCATCTTGGCCCGACCAACATGCAACCTGCGCAACACACGGAATCGACTAGACCACATCAGACCGCGGGACAACCGCGTTTTCGTCCCAGTCCCACACGTGCGTCGACGCGACTTTGTTTGGCAGGTGGACCGGCTCGTCTTCGCCAAACATGGTCACACACACATACTCGCACGTGTCGACGTTGTACGCGCTGTCCGCTCGTAGTCGGTCGGCCAGGTCCGCCGCCCACGTGGGGGGAATCTTGTGCTTGTGGAGAAAGGCATCGCTTGGCATGCACGCCAAGATCGCGAGCGGGTCGAACACGTCCTTGTGCGGGGCTCCGTCTCCGTCATGGACTTGCGACGCTTGCGGCCATCGTCGACTCGCCTGCGACTGCAAATACGCCATGGCGTCTTCGTCCTTCAGGTGGCGCAGCTCCACGGGCTGGCTGAGCCACGTTGGCCATGCTGGGTGCGGCGCGCGCAGGAGAAATTTGAACACGTCGTCCCCTTCAACTTTGTGCAATTGGTACGCGAGCAAAAACAATTCGTCCTGCGTTGCTGTCTTGTCGACGCGGTGTCGTTGTGGCCACTTCGATGGCAACGCGGTCGTGTAAAAGAACCGGTGCCACAAAGTAAACGCGTGCTTTTCAAAAAAGTGGGCGAGTTTGGCATTCCAATGTCGCCGCTGGGGGGTATTGTCCAGGAGGAACGAGCGCACATGCTTGGTCCAGGTCTCCCATGGCTTGGCTTCCAGCACCGCCGCGTACGCGACCTCAACGGCGGTGGACACGTCAGCGCTTGCCGCGTCGTCGACGTCCATCGAATCATGCAAAAGTTTTTGAATCGGGACGGTCTTGAATGGAGCACTTGCAGCGACTGGTTCGACGTCGGGTTCCTTGACATCCGTGCGAGATTGCTCGGTGGACTTTAGTGTGTTTTGCTTTGAAGTAGACATTCCACGGGGCGCTAGCAAGTGCGTCGCCGCGGCGGTGCGACTTTTTTTGGGGTGGCTACGTTTCGTGGCGGATTTTGGCGTTGGGGGGAGTTGGTGCAAGCGTGTCCGAGTAGTGCTCGGGGAAGACGAAGGCGACGATGGCGCTACAGCATCCGTCGCCGAGTCAGTCGCCGCGCTCGTCGTCTTGCCCGAATTCCTGCGGGATTCCACGTAGTCCTCGTCCTTATCGTCGTCGATGTCGTTTTCGTCGTCGTCATCGTCGAGAGCGATGATGTCCACGTACGCGGAATGGTGTCGTGTGGTGGGAAAATTGCGCGGCGTCACGGGCTTCTTTGCCGATCGTTTGGTCAGTTTTGCTTTTTTGGACGGACGTGGCATGTCCAGCAATTCTAACGTGTGCGTGGCAGGCGGCGACTGGATGGCGTTTGTGGATGCTGGTAGCAGTTGCGCCGTGGATTGAGTAGTCAAGGACGTTTCGAGTGTCTGTGGCGCTGAAGGAGGGGACGGCGGCGATGCCACTGGAGCGGTAGGTGTCGCATGTTGCGGAGGGACTGCGCTTTGCTCGGCGACCTGTAAAGGAGCTGGGGCAGTCGATGGCGGAGGTTCCGTCGGCATCGTTGGAGGAACCTGTCCTGGTCGGGGAGAATTCAGCATAGGAAGCGGCACAGGTGCTGCGAGGCTTGTGTCGTTCGGAACGTATTCTGGTGACTGAGGCTGGTGCTTTGACATGGAAAAGATCGTCACGTTCACGGAGGTGTCCAAGAATTCCTCGACAAGTTGCCTCCCGTCCTCCATTATGTACGCGCGGACGAGATGGTACAGACCTCGAACGTTCTTCGTCTTGAAGGTTGCCGCCACCCACGCGACAAAGCCAAACAGGGCCTTTTCTGCCTCGTTCGCGTTCGCTTGGACGGTGGCTAGCTGCGCGAGAAGGGAGTCTGTCGCTTGACGCGCGTTCGCGTTGCAATGCTCCAGCTGCCGCCCCATGGCTTCGAGCTTGGCCAGCTCAGTGTGCAACTTGGACGCCATCATCCGTCGGTGGCACGAGTACGCGGCTGGACCGAAAGCGATCAAGACTACTGTTGTGGCAAACTTGTGCTTTGTATGGAGTAATTCTTTCCGGATAAACTAACTGATGAAGTCCGACAGGACCATGCTGGCATCGCGATCGCGTTGGTCTCTGCCAGACGAGACCTTGAAAAGGAGGGCAGTGCTGCAGCTGCTCGAGCCAGGGAGGAGGGTACTTGTGCTCATGGACTAGGTGCGTTGGAAGCCAGTAAACGAGATCCTTCTCGAAGTAGGCTTCCGCGCGGTCCACAGCAGAGTGCCAACGTTTCTCCTTCTCGTGGCTAGGGGCTTTCGCGCCAGTGGTTGGAGCGCGCCAAGCAAACCAGCGTAGAACGGCGTGCCGTTGGAAACCACATTGGAATGCGCATGGTTGTGTCCAGGCCACAGCATCCATTCCATTCGAATTTTTACTTGCTTGTAGCGCAAGAATACGCGACACGAACACCCTTGTGAATGTTGTGGATGGAGTAACGAGAAGGAGCGAAGGCCGACCATCGTACGAGCTTGATTGTCCAAGACGTTGACAATGGAGGATGACTCCAGCAGGTTCGCACGGCATCGAGAGGTCTGAATTCAATCTAAATTGGCCGCTACGCCTTATCACCGACTCCTCAAGGCTCCTAATACTCGAGAATGGGGTCCCCGACGTTTTGAATGAGTGGAATGGTGCATTTCAGGTCAAACACTTTGCTCAGGACAATCTTGAAGACCTTCTGGACATTCACAGCATGGGATGCTGACGTGAAAATTAGCGGAGCCTTCATGGCCTTGGCAAACTTTCGCGCCTGCAAAAAGACCCATGAAGCTGGACATGACGGTGCAACGACGACGATATACCTGCTTTGTGACGTCGTCCTGCTCTTCTGGGGAGCTCGTGGCAATATGATCGTATTTGGTGCCGACCAGGAACGGGCACGCGTTCTGAGTGAGTCATCGAATGAGGAACTCTCGAAGGAACAACGGATCGAACGAACCTTGTTGATCGCTCGCACTTGTCGATACCATTCTTTGACGCTGGTTAATGTGGCTTTGCGTGACAAGTCAAACATGAAGAGGACTGCAACGGCGTCGTTGCACACCAGCGGCAGCATGCTGATGAATTCCCGGTGCCCACCCAAGTCCCAGATGCTGAAAGTGATCTCGGTGTTACGCAGCGTGATTGTTTTCTCCATGAAGTTCACCCCCAGCGTGTGAATGTAATCCTCGTCGAACTTGCCTTCGACATACTTGACCATGAGACTTGTCTTGCCCACTTGTGCGTCTCCGACCATGCCAACCTTCACCACGACGTTATTTCGCCCGCCTGTCGGAACTTGAGCACTCATCGACGCCGTGTTTCCTTTCTCTTCGCCATCCAGCTTGTCGTCATCCGGCGCTTCGCTCGACATCGCGGCGAGTTGGTCGAATTGAAAATCTTTCATCGTATCTCCTCCATTCGGTATCCGGATGCCATCCATTTAAATATCCAGGGCCAAACGAAGCGTACACACGATGCACGAGCACTTCGGTTCGTATCTGTTGCAACGTATTGTTTGCGTCCAAGTGTGGCAACATCATTGCAATAGCCTTTGCACAAACTGGAACGCGGCACACATAACCCATGGCCTCTTCGTTTAGCTACCATAAACTCCTCTGGTGAAGGGGCAATTTCCAATGTTCGTGTATGTGAAACTCCGTCCTGTATCCGGATACGCACAACCGTTTCCGACCCGATCTTTCAACACAACCGTCGCCTCTGATTGGCTGAAGCGAGATCCTGAAGCGTTTTCTTCGAAGGCCAACCACGATGGCCGACGACGCCGAGATCAAGCGCTTGGTGACTGAGACTCTGGAGATGCAAGGGGTGCTGAGCCAAATCAAGGTTGGTTTCGTGTGTTCAAGCCAACGATCGTGACATGCTTGAATAGGCTCAGTTGCGCGCTGCCGTGTACAATGCAATGCATGAAGTGGCACCCGAGCCTACAAAGGTGAAGCGCGACCTCTTCGCGTCGAAAGAATCGTCGCTTGCATTGCGAGTAGTGGTGGAATTCCTTCGGCAATTCAATTTACACCATACTTTATCCGTTCTCACAGCGGAAGCATCGTTGACCGAGGTAAGGCAGTGCCATGCGTGTCGACAATGACAGAGTGTTAATGACAAACGTTACGTAGGCCGACCTGTCGTGTACTCGGCGGGACGTGGCCACATCGCTTCACTGGTCTTCGCTTGGCACATCGACAACAGCCCTTTTAGTCGACTTGATCCATAATCAGTCGAATGGGGCACGCGACGACAAAGCGAATACACCGTCATCGATCGATTCCGAATCATTGCAAATTCCCAAGAAATCCTCCGAAGACGCACGAAGCGGCGATTCTTCGCAGAATGCCAAGACTGTTCGAGCACCTTCGTTGGATTTGAAGCCGTTGAAAACTCCAAACATACTGGGGTTTGCCACAACAGAATGCAGCGTCCCAACGACATCATTTAGTACAACAAAACCAAACACTTCTGTCGAGCCGCACGCCAACGACGATGACGGAGAAGACGACGAAGAGTCCATTGCCTCATCCGTTCAAGAAGCAACCTCCTCCGTCGACAATGCATCGCCGGATAAACCAGCTGCTCGTCAGGAAGTCGTCGGGCTATGAATTGTGTGGGAATTCATCTCATCATGGCTGCTAGGCGCCAGCAACGGACAAACCATCAGCAAAACTTGTCCCCGAGCCGTCCAAGGCAAACGACTTGCCTCCACTTGGTAAACCATCGCTACTGGGCGCGCTGCCACCCATGCCTGGTTCCAAGCCCGCGGCATCTGTCACGACCCCAACCCCGACCGACGGTGGCGATGACGACGACCAAGATGAGGACGACGATGTACGGAATCTCGTTGTGGCCCCATGTTAAACTCTGCATTTCAGGCGGCGCGGTTGCGGGCGCTGGACGCGTCGTTGAAAGCGATGGAAGCCGAAGACGATACGGGCACGTTGTCCAAACTCAAAGCGTCGCTGCAGCACGAATTGGAAGCGAAGAGCGACGACGACGGTAGTCATTACGGGAGCGATTTCGAGGAAGATTTTGAAGAAGATGCGATTGCCAGGTGTGTTGGGAAAATGCGTGTTTGCCATGTCGTTCTCAATGGCAAACACTAGTGATGTCGAAGAAGACGTGGGCACGTCGAAAACGTCCGACGACGATGGGGTGCATCCTTCCTGTGGCAACGCTGCACTCGTTAACGTGGGTGGACTGGTTTAGGGATTCAAGCCGTCGGCGGCGGACAAACCTGTCTCTAGGTCTGTGTTGGACACGTACGACCACGTCGAAGACGTCGAGAGGCCGTAGAATGCTGCATGCGCGGGGCGTTGGTCGACGCATCGACCTGTGCTGTCTAACGTCGACACCCGATTCCATTGTGCGACAGCGATCGATTTGCATGACATGCATCCATGGACTGGCAAGTGCAAATGGAGTCCCTTCAGCTGGCTAGTTTGCCACATGAGTAGTCAAGGGAATGGAGGGCAATTCCAGTGCTTGTTTCGTTGCCATGTGGCTGCAATGGATTGGGCTGCTAATCCTTCATTTACTCAACGTCCTTGGCTTCGTCCGCCTTGGGCACGAGTTCGTCGAACGGACGACCGAGCAATCGCTCGACGACAGAACGATCGTCTTCGCCAAACGCTTCGGGATGAACAAAGTAGTGCTTGTCTTTGGCTTTGAAGTTGATCATGGGGTGCATCGACTTGTCGGGAAAGGTCGCGTCGGCAAGCTGAAAGTCCGTCGTGGTCTTGGCCGCGAGCAAGTTGAGCGTTTCGACAGTCACAGTTTCCGAGTTACGGTTGATCCACAAGCGCAGGACGTACGGCTTGAAGAGGACGTGAAACAGGGCGGTGGTCCCCATCCCAAATATCTAGCATCGCGTTCAGCAACAAGATGGGCCGGGGGTGTCGACCATACCATGACGGTGCCGCACATGGCCCACTGCGCCACTAGAGACGACGTCACGGAGCCATACATGCACGTGATGGGCATTCCAATCGACGTCAACGTGCACGACGTGATCGAGACCGCCTTCATCATGCGCACAGGTCTGGCGAGGGGAGCTTCGTAGATAAGTTCCTTTGCATACTCCGGCTTGTCGGTCGCTTCAATGGAGAAGTAGCGGGCGTGGTTACGGACTCCCGTGGCAGTCGTCCCTCTGTGCAGCTGCCTCAGCAGCACGGGTTGGGCCAGGCGGCGCACCAGCATGTTTGTTGACCAAAGTGATTGGCAGCAGGATTATACGGATATTTATCCGGAGGTCCACAGTTACCGAGAATAACATTGGTGTTCAGTCCGCCAAGAAAACACGATCCCGCCGACACCATGTCCCGCAAGATGAAGCGCTCGGTGGTCAAGTCACAGCACGAACTGGAGGCAAGAATGTCGATGCGTGTCTTCATGTCCGTGTTTGCGATGTGCTGATCGTCGTCCTGTCTGTAGATTCGTCGAGCGAAGGAGGCGAAGGAGAAGCTCGCCAAGAAGCGCGAGAACCGGGTACGTCCAGTCGGTCCAAGCTCGCCAAAACGTAATGGGTGTGTGAGTGTTGCAGAAAGCGACGCAAGCCAAGACGGGCGTGAAGAAGCTGTCGTCCAAGGTCTTGCGCCGCATCAAAGCGCGCAAGGAACAGAATGGCGACGACGAGAGCGACAAGGACGAAGGCGAAGAAACCATCATGGAAACGGAGTAACTTGGTCTCGAGTTGTCTATATATTACGATACCCCATCCTCAGCCCGACGTCTTGAAGGGACAGTCACAACCGATCGAGGCACTTCGACATGTACTTGTCCATGTCGTCGACTTCCTCGAGCGTCTCCTTGATAATGTCGTACACCATCGCGTGCCACTTGTCGTTCATGTACTGCACACACACACACGCGCATCCATGCGTCAGTGGCAGCACTCCAGTCATTCACCACCACGTCATGGCGAGCTTACCTTGAGCTGCGCGTCGACGCGAGTCGCTTCCGTCAAGTACCTGTTAATCAGTGCATTCGTCGTCCGGTCGGCGATGCTGCCTTGACGGGCCATTTGTGCCTGCGGTTGTGGAGCGAGAGGGGGTGGCGGCCCTTTCCGCGACGTCGCTGTCGTGAATGCCGACGTCGCCAAGCCCGCATCAAAGAAGTGCTCGCCCATGAGCTGGTTTTCGAGCGACAGGGGCTGGCCGTTCAACACTTGGACGTTCTTCAGCACGTGGCTCACGAATGGCCGCAAGAGGCGCATGTGGCACACCGGGTTGTGCGAGATAGTCACCTGTGTATCCAGGTCAATCAACATCCGAATGTTACAACAGCCACGAGGTTCTCGATTCATGCGTGCTGGACGCGCGTACCTCTTCCGCTCGCGAACCCAGACCTGCCAACCAGTGCAGCTGGTCGAGCGATGTCAATTGGTTGTATGCAAAGTGGACGTGTTTCAGCGCGGTGAAGCTCTGGAGGTACAAGCCGCCACCAGCGCCGACGCCACTGTTGTTCAAGTTCGACGTTGACGTTTGGGGCGACGATGTCACGGCCTGGGCAATCGCGTCGAACGGAATGTACTTGAAGACGATAGCGGTCACGATGTTGTGAATCTTGGTGCTCTCGAGCGCCTCCAGTGCGTCTCCGTACACGAACAACGTCCGCGACTCGTCCGACACTTCGACCTCGGAAAACCCAATTTGGATCTGACCCACGTTCATGGCGGCAGTGGCAGCCAAGAGGCGCTTCATGTTTACGTGTTTGTCGGCAGGGTGGTTGGCCCACGGGTCGTCAAACTCGGGCGCCACAGCCACGACGTCCATGTCGAATTTTTCCTCCCACTTTTTGCGGACGGCAGTGATAGCTCGCACACGTTGTGCTTCCTACGGCCAGTCAGTGAGTGGGCGAGATGGGGCTGCACGGATGGTTCGTCGATAGGGTAGGCAGCACGACGTACTTGGTTCTCTTCCCGTTGTTGTTCTCGCCGCTTCTCGTTGGCCTTTTGACTCAGGCTAAATGCTTCGCGCCGCTCGTCTTCGGTGACGGCCTTCAAGTCCAAGTTGCGCAGCGACACAAAATTCTGGATCATGAGAGGGCGGTAGTCGGGGCTCTCGACTTCGTTAAATTTGTTGCCATCGAGACGGAGCTCCGTGAGGGCCACGAGCTATCGCAACCAAACTCACCGTGACCCCACGTCATGTTGACAACGTAATTTTGAACAGACGGGAGCGACCGAAGCCATGTCGTACCTGAAACAACGGCTGCAAGCTGTCTTTCGACGGAAGTTTGTTGTTGGAGAGAAAGAGGCGCTGCAGCGTGGGGAGGCGGCCGAGCGAAGTCGGCGATATGACATCGATGAAGTTGCGGCGGAGGTTGAGTTCAGTCAGTAGCGTGAGCGAGCTGATATTTTCCAACACGGTGATGCGATTGCCGGCGAGATTGAGCACGCGGAGTTCGTTGAGCTGGTCGAGGCACTCGATTTTGTCGATTTCGTTGCTAAAACGTCACCACGTCAGCGGCCGGTCACTCAGCGTACCAAAGTTGGTACCTATGCAGATCGAGAACGTCCAGTTTTGCCAAACACGCTAAGTTTTCGATCGTCTTGAGCTTGTTTTTGCCCAGCATGAGCACGCGCAGGTTGGGCACGACGTGGAGATTGTCGATTTTCTGGAATTGCGCCATGAAGCAGAGGGTCAATATGCGATGGAGGATGGAGGCAGGTAAACACAGGTGTGTGTGTGTCGTACCTCGATTTTGTTGTTGTACAAGTCGAGAAAGATCAGATTCGGGAGCCCGTGCAGGTTGTCGATGGCTGTGATCGAGTTGTTTTGCAGGTTGAGCAGCCGCAGGATGTGCTCGCCTTCCAGCAATGGCACGACCTTGATGGAAAATTCCCGTCACCATCAGCTTCGATCCGTCCATGCCGCAGACATCGGCGTGGGACTGTACCTTGAGCGCCCGCCGGTCCAGGTTCAAGCGCTCTGGGTTGGCCGCTTTCGCACGCTCGTTGCGGTACACGACCGGGACGCCAGGGATGTCTGGGGTTTCGCCAAAACATACCTGACACCACAAGACGTCAACGACCGACCACGATGAAGCAGCATACGTCGGAGGTATCGACGTCCTTGTCTACGGACGCCCGTCGATTTGTTGCTTTCGTCGCGGGATCCACCGTGTGCACAATCGACATGGCGGGCTCGGGTTTGGAAGCGGTGTTCGAAGTGTCAGCGGGTGGTGCGCGGGAGTCGTGAAGACTGAACGAGTGCTGCTGTTTGGCCGGGTGTGGAGTCGACGACGATGGGTGGAGTCGCTTTGCATCCTATCACACAGAAAGTGCAGAGTTGGGCCAGCATGGCAGAGCCAGTTGTACGTTGGGGTTGGCGCTGAGTTCTGCGTGGACCGTGACGCGGTCATGGGTGGCGCTACGATGCCGCGAAGCAACGGTGAAGAAACTGGCTGTTCTTGTAGAAGCGAAAGGATGCCGTCATACCGGACATAGCCTTTGATGGTTGTGGGTTTCGGGTCGGAAGAGCTGGCCGAGTTGTTGGGTGCTGGACCAGACGACATAGTCTACGAAACACGTCAATGCATGAGCTTGAGCTCGTGTCAGCACTCGGCGCAACAGCAAAACGCGCCCCAGCACGACAAGCCTTTGGAAGAGTGCCAAACCTGCTGGGTGCCTCCTGCTGTCGATGGTCGCTCCGGGACGGCCATGGACCGGCCGCCTTGTTGAATCAACTTGGCTTGGTCCGCACTCGATGAGTTCTTGACATCTTTCCACTACCATGGAAAAGTTGAGTTGGAAATGCACAAACCGCAAAGGTGCACACTGCATGGGCTGCAAGGCACTTGGATATGCAGTGCGAGATCGCACTCAGAGGGGCAGCATACCGTGTCGAGCTTCAAGGCAACCTTGGACTTGTCCACGATCGTGGTTTGCCGCCGTGTAGTGCTACCAATGGATGCTGCAGTTGGTTGGTGCCGACTCGTATTGGGCGGCCCCGTCGGCGGTTGCTGCGGCTGCGCATCATTGTTGCCGGTCCACCTGACGGTGTTGGGACCACGTGTCGTCGTCGTGTGCGATGCGTGCTTTTTCTTTTGTGGCTTTGTGTCTACCGCAACGAAATGTGCTCAACTCACATCACTAGGTGGACGTGTGTACGTTTCACGGATTGGAAAAAGTCTGGAAAGTGGTTGTCGGCCAAGGCAGTAGTAGTGCGCTCGTTGGGTCGGACCACGGCAATGCCACTCCCTCCCTGTGTGACCTACAGGATGCAAGACCATGTGAGAATTCTGTCTCGATCGCTGGTACGTCATAATCACTGCTGTCTACCGTCGGAGTGTTGATAGGCACCCCAAGAGTAGACGTGCCAGGCTTGCGCCCGCCCGATATTTTGTTGAAGAGCCCGATTGCTTTGGCATTTGGAACATTCAGCGTCGACAACGCTGCAGCAGCCGTTGCTGTCGCTGGGCTCGGCACACTGGTCGACGACGTTTGCATGATCTGGAAGATCGCTTATGTGTGGCGCATGAGGTGGCGGCCGCGCTCGTCGAATGTTTTCGCCGTCGCGACGGTGGGTTGTGTGTCCTTTCCGCTCGACGATGTAAAAAATAATGCTGGAGGAATCCATGCCATACAAATATCAAGTAAACAATTCAAATTTGGAATGTGGAATTCCCGCATCTTACCGCAGCGATCTTTCCGCGCAGGTACGGCGTACTTAAGAGAGATTTGCCATGCCCCTTCAACCAGAGAGCGATCTTCACCTCGACCTGGGCCATGGGTCGACGGAGTAGATGGACCGTGCTGGCAGCACTGGTCCGTTGGCTGCATGCAAACCCATGCCCAACAGAGCAAACAGACGCACCCACGTGGGAACATCTGAAGGCCAGCGAGATGGGCTTCCACGCGCGCGATGGTCACGCCGAAGCAGCAGAACCGAGTTATGCCACTGACGACGTGCACTGTGTAGGCCATGCGAGCGCCATGTTCCTGGGGAAGATTTGGGTTGTCGGTGGGCAAACAGACAAGTACACGACGCGGCAGCTGATTGATACGACCCGGCGGTCCGACGTGTGGACTTCTATCGACGGCAACATGTGGCGTGCTGTCGTTGATGAAGCACCGTTTCCGCGCCGGTTTGGCCACTCGTTGACGGTGTTTCCAGAACCAGCGCTCAAGAATACACCAATTATGGTACTCATGGGCGGCTTCAGTCCCATTCCTGCCAACGACATTTGGTACACTCGCGACGGCCGTACTTCGCTCCCTTCCATCCTGTTCTGGCTAAACCATGGCGTTAGAGACATGGGAAATGGTGACATATGCTGTGCCATGGAGTCCACGAGGCTGGCATTGCGCGTTTGTGTTTAATCAGCGGTTTTGGGTCGCCGGGGGGACTCCATTGAACAACGAAGTGTGGTCCACAGACTCGATCGTGCAAGGTGAGAATGTATGGATGTGATGAAGGCAGCATCGTGGTTGCGTTTGACGTTCGAGTTACAGGCAGTTGGAAGCAAATGGCCACGCCAGAGTGGTCTCCTCGAGCTGCCCATTCGTGTGTGAACCACCAGGTGAAGAACGCGACGGTGGGCGATGCCTCGACACAGGACGTCGTGTTTCTCCTGGCGGGATGGGGCAGAAACAGCGAGCTTATGAACGACGTTTGGAGCTTGGACAAGTCAAGTCTGTCACGTCGACGTGCAAACCAAGTTGATGCTCGTGCGTTTGTAGATTCGTGGACCCAGCAAACGGCGGCCGCTCCGTGGCCTGCCCGTGCTTGGACTGCGGCCATCTCGTTCAATTCGTTGACGCAAGGCGATGCGATTCAAGGCCCCCGGCTATGGATGTTTGGCGGCGGCCGAATTGGCAATGGCGTCCACTCCATGTTCACGTACTCGGACGTGTGGGTGACTCGCGATGGAGGTGCGCAGTACGTTGGCCAACAACAATGTCACCATTTCGTGTGTGGATAGAATCGTGGATCGGGACGAGCTCCGACCGCCTCGGCCAGTCGACGGTCGAGTGGTGTCAGGTCACCATGGGCGATAAAAAGGTGTGCTTTGGCAAGTGGGGCCACTCAGGTGCTTGCTTGATTCGATCCCTTCTGGGGACGTCTTTTCATGCCGACTCGGTGTCGTTGTATAGTTGTCCTGCACCAGCGAAACCTGTCGGCATCGGTAAACGTGTGCGGCACCCAGTGCACGACCAACGACAAAGCGACGGTCCTGAGCGGCACCTTGATCGGCCAGTGCAACTCGTCGATACCACCGCCTGCTGCGACAACAACGTCCCAACTCGTTGGAAACCTGTACCAACTGAGCACGCAAACATCGGATGGATGTGGAACGTGCGCGACCGCTCGGTACTACGACGAGGTCACGGTGCCCGCAGTGTTGTTGATTGCAGGGTCGTCTGGAGATCACAAAGTGTCGGACGTGTTTCGGTCCACCGATTTCTGTACGTCCGAGAGCCATCCATGCATGTCGTGGAGCCGAGGACGATGTCTCATCGGCTGTCTTGCTCGGTGTAGTCCTGTGCGAAATCGACGGCCAAGTGTGTGGCAACCAGGGGTACTGTGGCCGGGGCGGTGTTTGTGTGTGCGACCCTGGCTGGTGCGGAGACTACTGCCAGGACCCACTGCCACCGTCCAAGGCCGCGCGAGTGCCGTCCACGTCGTTCGGCGTCGTGTGGCTCGTCGTGTGGTTGAAAGCGTTGTCATAACCTGGTCAAAGCAACACCAAACCACGATGGAATAATGGTCTGGTCGCATTCACCAGAGCTTTGAATCGGCGTGCCAAACCACGTGCTACCGCTCGAGCATCGCACATCGTCTTGGCACACCTCTGGCATCGAAGGACTGAGATCCTAGCAGTTTGCACCGTTGTCGCGCGGGCTGTAGGCTACCTATACGCTGCGCCACTCGGCCATCCACGGTGTCCGTTCCATGGCATCTCGAGCATGCTGCTTCCACGCTTCAACAATGACCTGGTTGACCTCTGGGACCCAAGGGACGAGGTCCCGCACGATGAGATCCGCTGGAGTGGCCACGAGGTCGTGAGGAGTCGCCAGCTTGACGGCTTCCAATGCTGGCAACACTCTATCCGAGGCATCTTGTACGATTTGTTGGTGCATGCATTCATCCAATTCTTGACGTCGCGCCTGCGTACGATCCGCGATCATCACCCTGACAATGTAGACAGCAGCCTCCTCCATGGTGATACCTCTTGCACGAAGCCATCCAATGAATCGAGCGTGATCGCGCAACTCGGAAACGCCCGACGCCAAGCTGAAAAGAGCGCCTCCGACTCGGCATTTGCGAGATCTGTCCGGCACTTGATGCCCACGGCGTCCAAGTTTTGCGCCACGGTCGCGTCGTCTTGCACCACTCGCAATACTTCGTCGTCCACCAAGGTACAGCCGCCGACGCGATTCCATAGCTGGAACGGGTGTCAAGCAGCATTCGTCTCGAATTTCAGTAGTGCGCACAAGTGGGCATCGCGCATACCTGGAGACATGTCCATGGCTGCTGGTCGTGGACGTCAGCGCCACCTTCCGCCGAGACAATGCCGCTCCTTGCTGCGTCCAACTGGCGCACCACACGTGCTTTGCCGCATGCATCGCACACGACAGTGAGAACGTCATCCATGTCGTTCTCGCAGTTGGTTGAACTGGAACGTCTTCCACCATCTCGAGCGGCGTGGACGGGATGCGACAGAGTCGTAGAAAGCGCGCTCTCGTCGCGAGTGGAATTGGCTGCGAGTTGAAGTCGAGCCATGGCTGCGCGAGCCACGGCATTTCGCATCACACGGGGGTCGATGACGTTCTCGGCGATTATCTTGCCTTCCCCGTTGTCTGGAGAGGCCGTTGTCAAGTCGATAGGCAATGCTGGCACGGGTTCCATCGCTGGGGCCGGGTCCTCCCGCCGCCATCTGCCGCCGCCCGTCGCCTGCCAATAACATGAACATTGAGATGGCAACATGCGACTTGTACCTGGGCTTCTAATGCCTTTGCAGAGAGCACTCTATCACGTACACAGGTACCATGCATCAAATTGTGCATCTCGCCAAGGTCATGGTGTTGCCCACCGCGTCCGTGTATCCAAGAACGCCCAATCTTCCTCTGGCAGCAGAGTTTGGAGGCCCAGGCCGACGTCACCATTGTAAAGTCGGGCCAAACTCCAAAAGACCCTGCAGTTCGGTCAGTCTATGCATGCACAGAGGGGGCCGTTACCGTGGCGATACTTGCGCCATGTTGAACGGCTTGAGCATTTCCTTCTCACCGCCGCCCGCAAGCACCACGTACTTGAGCGCGGTGCGGAGTTCAGTCGGTTGTAGGCAGTCGACGTCCTCCTCTTTCCAAGTTCGCACGCCGGCGAGAAATCGAACGCGCATCCGTCCGTGCGACAGGACTTGGATCGAAAATTTGTTCGACCATGCGGCGCTCAATCGCGCGTTGGCGAGTGTCATGTCGTATTGGTGGACCACTGCTTGCTTGGTGGCCTTGCGTAGGAATTTGTCCCGTGTGGAGTGACCGCTCCCACTGACCGCATCCACGAGCGTCGTTTCAACGTCGGCCTTGCTGCCCAAATGGATGGCAGCAATCTTGCGACGGCGTTTTCCAGAGGTCGAATCAACGCTGCTACCTCCGATGGACACCGGTGGCGACGACGCAGGAACGTCGGTGGAGCTGTGGTTGAGCGCAATACCAGTCCCATGAAACCTTTTACGATTCGGAACGGAAATGACGGCGGCCTTCTTGGACGTTGGTTGCGCTGGTTCGGCAGACGAAGGTGTCATGTTTGGCTCTGATGCACAAGTCCCGAGCTTGACCCCGACGCCGGCGAAAGTTCGTTTGCTTTTTGTCTGGCGACGAGGTCGCGTGGACGTCGGCGCCAAGTGCTCCAGGACCACGGTGTCTGACGAGTGAAAGATGGACCGGATAGGCTCGTCAGCAGCTGCTTCAATTTGTTTTGGTGGGAAGCCCCCGCGATCTACGAGCGAATCGTTCACACAACGTGAGGAACATGGAAGTCCTACATGTGTACGCTGACGGCGGGCCGCGCAGTGAAGCTGCAGCGAGAGCCTTCTCTGCGCACAGCAGTCATTCACACGGGACACTATTTCACGGCGCGCATACCTTGGAACTCTAGAAAGCTGCATGCCGGATCGACTTCAAGCACCGCCGCGCCGCCTGCCGTCGACCGAATGCGGATGCGATACATCTTTCTTGTTGGTTAATCCGATCAAAATATGCATATATGATATTTTGCAGGCCGAATATATCGACCAATCCACCTTTCATAGCCAATTTGTTCTGCGGTGCATGGGAAGGCTCTCGATGGTCCATGCGAAGTCGCGAGGCTCGCGACGACGGGCTTTCTGTCGTGTCGCCCGTGGTAGCTCGATCCAGTTGCGATTACCCGCGGGAGCATCCGACGTCCGATTCAGCCCAGCTTTGTCACCTCCTTGTCGTGGTTTTGCAACCCACGAACTCAACGATGAAACGGAGTGCACGTCATGGGCGCGGTGGCGCCAGTGGCCAGGGCTGGCCAGTCGCAGTCCTCATGGCCTATTGAAGCACACAACTCCAGGCAATACATGGACAGCGATGCCAGTCCAAGGCACTCGACCGCCCAGCCGCCTTGTCTTTCCGTCCACCATCCTGTTGCACAACCGCAAAAGAAGGCAGCCGGACGTCGGACGGTCCCATATATATATATATATATATTCTCCAAGGAATCGTTTGTGGTTCACATCCCGGCGCACCACACGAGCTTCGTAGCGACCAGCTCCCTACCGACGATGTAGTGCGATGACGAATGCGTCGGGTCCGTCCGCTCGATGACCCTCCGATAGCCCAACGAGTCTTTTTCACAGAATCACACGCTATCTACACACGTCGGAGTCGTCGACGGCTCCTTGGTCCAGACAACGCGACCGTCCGCCAACAGCTTGCGCGACAACCCGGCGAACGTCCTGTCCACGTCGTGTTGGGCGAAAAATTGCTCGAGCTCGTGTGCCCTCACATCGAGCTTGTTTGCATTGTTGACGGTACCATCGCTGCTTGCTGTAGCAACTTCAAATGGCCCCAGCGGCGTCGTGAGCAACGGAAGAATGCTCTGCAACGTCGACTCAAGTTCACGCGGCACGGACTTGTCGACGGCGACTCCAAGGCTGCTGTCCACCAGAGACAAGACGAAGCTCACTCCGTGGCATTTCTGTAGAAGTGCCAATGCGCCTTGGACACACGGCAACGCCGCCGCGATGAACATCGAGTTGATCGGAACGTGGATGGGGTACACGCCGTTCGGGTCGTCTCGCACGACGTCGCCCGTCATTTCATCGACCAAGTACAAGTCGAGACCATCGGCGGCAAACGCATTCGCCAAAACAGCGCGCGCCGACTCGTCCGAGCTGCTGGACGTGTCAGCGATGGCGGCTCCGAACTGAAAGAGGTGGCCGAGAAAGGCGATGGTCGAGTTCACGTCAGCGGGACTCTTCGTCGACGCGTCAGAGCCAACTGGAGGTAGCAAGACGAACGACGTTGGCACCGACACCCCCGACACGTCGAACACGGCCCGCACGATGGATTCCTGGGCCTCTCGCACCCGGTCGCGGACGTTGGCGGCGATCGTGGTTTCCTGCAAGGTGGCTGTCAACTCGACAAACGTTTGATTCAAATCGTGCTGGCTTTGCTCCAGCAGCACGATTTGGTTCACTAGAGCGGACGTGGCCACTTCTCCGGAAAAGTACGCGTGCGACAGCACGCGGTCGAGATTCCACCGAGCATTGGGATCGACGATGAGGAGGCGGGACGCGAGGTCGAGCGCGATCGGGTCGGCGATGTTGGCCCGCAGACGCTGGGACAGCAACTCGTCCGTCCAAGATGCCGCAGCGAGCATGCGATCGGACACTACGTCTTGGTTGACGTCGGTGGGGTTGAGCTCGACTCCGCTCCACATTTGGTACATCATGCACCCGAGCGCCCACACGTCGAGCGCCTCGGCGGCGTCAACGAGGTCGTACGGCAGCGCCCCGTCTTGACTTTCGAATTCCGGACGGAACGACTTGACGACGACATTCTCGCGTGGTTTGACCTTGCGCCATTCGTCTGCGTCGACGCCGCGCCAGTACTGCGCCACCTGGTCCGCTTCGTCGGCGTTTCGGAGCACGTAAAACATCTCTACACGAGTTGATGACAACGCTCGATGCCACACCGCCGCTAGTACCTGGTGGCAGGTTGCCGGAGCTGAATTTCATCCCGACAGGATGTCCGATCCTGACGGCCGCGTCCAGATCGATCAGTTTGAGTTGGTTGTGAACACGGAGCACGTTGAGCTTCTTGACGTCGCCGTGGACGAGCCCGTGGTCGTGGAGATGGCGGAGCGCGGTCGTCACGTCAAAGAGCATGCTTCGCACGAGTTTATCGCTCGGTCGTTCCTTTTGGAAAATGTCCTCCAAACTCCGATCGGCGGCCGGCATCACAACGACATGAGGATACACGGCCATGTCGAGCGCGTCGTCGTGGAGTTTCAATCGTCCAACGTGCGTTGCGAACGTCGTGGCGTCTAGCGACGGCAGCAGCGCCAGCACACACGTCGGGTCGAGTCCCCGCCGCGCGCGGACTTCGCGATCGTACTCGTCTTTGTGGCGCATGAATTTCATCGCGACCTTCAATTTTCCGCCAAAGTACTGCCCGCAGTACCGCAGGAACTCCTCCGCCGACATTTCCCGGTTGCCGTCCTTGTCCCAGAGCTCAAATTCCTTCTTCCACGAGTCCGCCTCGCGCTCAAACTACGTCGGTCGTCAAGCACGCTGTGCCGACGACTCGGTACCTTCATGTGGGTCGCGTTGCGATCCGTGGACAAGCGCCCTAGCGTCTGGCTGCATGCGACGAACCCGTCCTCGGTCAGTTGTCCGTTGTCTTCGGCGAACTCGTCAAACACTTGCATGCAAATCCCGTGGTCGTATGCATGCACGACCACCGCCGTCGCGCTCACGTGAATCGGTGGCCCGTCAAAGATATCGTACCGTCCACAAAAGTGGATCACGCCCTTCAAAAACTCCCGCGTCGTCGCGTCAGTCGTGTGCAGCGCGTCGCGGCCGTGCTCGTCCTTGGCATATGCCAACTCTTTGATCAACTCGGCGTTGTCCACGACCGATGCAAACGTGTGCAACGACCGAATCGTGTCGATACGGACGGATGGCGGCACAGCGACACTCGAATCGAGGAACTTGGACCACGAATACGAGTGGCTCTCGTTTGATCGGAGCACGCCGTTTGCAACGTGGACCGGCAGGTCGCGGAGAAGGAGGGCCCGTGCCGACACCACCGACAACCACGGCGCCAAGTACTCGAGGAGCAACGCGTTCTTGGAATCGAGTCAGGCACAAGAGGCCGTCGATGCAAGGCGTACCTCGTACACCAACGGAATGTCGCCAACGTCGTGATGGACAAACCGCTCCGCAATGTAGTAGCGTTTCAATTTCATGGCGTATTCAAACCCGGTCAAGCCGTACTAGTCGACGGCACACACACAAACATGGATGGCTGTGAGCGATCACAATCGCATCCAACGGAATGGACGTACGTCGTCGCGCCGATCGGCTCGAAGGCAAGGCGCGCCGTCCAGCAAGGCATCGACAACGTCCAAGTGATCGTGCTTGATGGCCGCATGCAGCGGCGTCGTGCCGTCCTGTTCCGAACGAGTCGGTGCAAATTGCAACTACCGAGTCACACCTTGAACAAATTTACGTTGATGTCGGGCTTGGTTAACATCATGCGAACGACGGTGGCTTGTCCTTTGATGCAGGGAGCCATCAATGGTTCGCATCCAGTCTACGCATGACAGAGTTCTTGAGCCCGTTGAGCACATCGCTCTAGATGGTACACGCGAGCCAAAGTTGACGTTGATGTGGGGCCATGCCAATAGCATGCAAGCCACTTCGGGGAAGCCTTCGCTGCATGCGTGATAGAGCACTGTGTTGCCAGCCTAGTCGTCGGTCAGGCGGGAACAAAAGCGGGCGCGCACGTACTCGGTTCTCAAAGTTCACGTCGATGTCCGGTTGCGCCAGGAGCACTTGCATGACGTCGGTCAGGCCTCTCCACGCTGCATGGTTTACAACCGCATTGCCCGACTAGACGAGGACGCGTGTGCGCGTGTGGGCATCCAAAACTTCGGCATATTCCTCACCGTGTTTCGTTTGTTGATCGAGTGAATCTCGGGGCGGGCAAGGAGCATGCGCAAAATCGCCGCGTTGGCGGCAAACATGAGCGCCGTCTCCTCGCTCTACACGCTCGACAAGTGAGCTACAAAGCAACGCGTGCGTAAAGTCGTTGCCTCGTTCTCCAAGTTCACGTTGATGTCTTTGTGCTGGAGAAGCGCAGCGACAACGTCGGTGTGGCCATTGTCACAGGCGTACATGAGCGCGGTACGGCTATAGTGCTACATATCGACGGAGCTGCACGTCTGCGCGAAACGAAGGAAGAACGATACCCTGGACAGCTCGTTCACTTGTACGTGGACATGCTTGAGGAGGAGGTCGACGACTCCGACGTTGCCGCATTTACTCGCCACGATCAACGGGGTCTCTCCCAGCTAGCCACGATGTCGACATGGATCGTATTCATCGAGCCACGACAAGTACCTCATTCACAACACTGAGAAGCACGTTTCGGTGGGCCAGGAGCAACTTGGCCATGTCGGCTCGCCCGAGACGCGCCACGAGGAGGAGCGCCGTGGTCTACCAAGGCCATGACGCGACGAAAGCATGCCACGACGTATAGCATCCACCTCTGAACAATCGTCTGGGTCAAACTCGACGGCGTTCACGTCGCACGTGGGGTCGCGAAGCATGGCCGCGACATGCTGGACGTCTCCTGACCGCACGGCATCCACGAGCGAATCGTCTTTGTTGTACACGGTGGGGTGGTCGGCTGCGTTGCCGCGTTGCCGCGGGTAGCCTCGGTAGAATGGCATGGCAGGTGGTCAGGTCGCGTCGGGTGGAAGTGTGCGGGGGGGATAAGTCGTTGTCCCCAGACCAAATACTCGCGATGTACGACGCAATGCGCCACCCGACAAGGTTGGCACCCAAACGCCGATCCATACAAAATCTCGAGGACGCCCAAGTGGCACCTGGCCAGTGGCACGATCACCGTACCGTGTAAGGTTACTCAAACTCAGGTTGCCGTTGTTGGCCGGCAATTGCGATCGCCAGACGCCGCTCGCTGGCGGCCTCGGAACAGCTGCACCAGCTACACGACAGGATGGCTGGTGACGACAACGCGGTGTGGCTGATCCGCGGCGGGCCGACAAAAGTCCATCCGTTGACAAGTCGGCAGCAAGACAGCGATGCACGACCCGACCGCAACAGCCCCGAAGGCATCGTATATGCGGCATGTGTGCTTGTCAAATTCCACTTGCCACGACACGTGGTCCATGCCATCTTGGACATGGCCGGGTTTTGGGTCGAGTTCTACGAAGAAACGAACGAGTACGTGGACGGGGATGCTCCGCTGGAGCACGAGTACTTGCACGTGACCGTCCCTGGCTACATGGGCCACGACGCCCTTGAACTGCGTCGGTGTGTCGGCATGTCGATCGAATGCATCTCGCACGACCAGGGTTGGGCCGACTCGCCAGATTTGAACGGAACGTATCGCGGCGTGTACTCATGGTGCGAACTCGATGTTTGGAACGAAGCTCAAGACAAACAGGTCCTGCCCAAGTGGGAAGTCAGCTACAACGTCCGTGGCCGGTCCGACTTTCGGCACCACTTGCGCATTGAACGCGAGAACCGCACGATCCTCGACCTCATGGAGACGCCGTACAACGTCGTGCGATTCTACCTGCGAGCGCAGTACGGAGGCTGGAAAAACGTGGCGAAGTATGCACGGATTGCCCTCCACTTTTCCGTGAATCTCAAGCCGAATCTTGACATCGACAAGATCATGCGAGACCTCGACCGAGAGTTTGGCGACGACTGGTGGGGGGCCCAAGTCCCGGCGCCGTAGCACGAGCATGTTCGTCACGAACAACAAAGGGTTCTTGTCCCACACTTTCTGTCCTTATTGTGATCACATCTCGACTGCTTCTACCTCGCTCTGCCTTCGCCAACTGCAAAGCAGCATGGCCAACCGCAACCATGATAGCCTGAGGCCAAAGGTTACGTTGGTGACGGCACCAAGGAAGAGAGGAGCATTCGGATACCGCATCGTTCGATATCCGGATAGCTATTTCGTGTGCGCCACCGCAATTGGCACTCGGACGATGTCTGCCCGCGCGCGCCATGCGCTACGATCGAAGCGAGAATCATCGCTAATGATCGGCGGTCTTGTCCTCTTGGCAGGACTTGGAATGTACTCGCTGCCGTACGTGATTGTCAAGGGAAAGCAAGGCCAGAACACATTGTCCAAGGAAGGACCGTTGTCCGTGACTGAAGTGCGACGAGGAGCGTTTCTGAACTCGGGCTCGAAGGATATCGGCCCCGATCCCGACTGGAACTTTGAAACAAACTCGTACCAAGGTACATGTTGATGCCATGTAGGCCATTCCTTCCGCCTCGACTAACGCCGTTCTAGGACGCCGCACAGCCTACCCGCAGCGACCACAACCTCCTCAGGAAACTTCATAGCTCACTTGAGACTCCACGTCACCGTCCCGCATTCTAAACATTCCAATTTGAGTCAGAATTCTCGCTCGTTCGCGTGTTTGATGTGTATATGCCACAGAAATCTGGCTGCCAACGCGCCACTCTGAGGTCGCTAGGTCTTCGCCAGCACACCAGCAGTCAGCACTGGTTGCTCCACCGTAGCAAGAATTCCATCGCATGCATCGAGTCCATGCTGCATGTAGCCGTACATCGAACAACAGTTTCACCGCCAACCTCTCGTCCCAGCTTCTTGTGCAGACTCTGTCGTCTTCGACATGCGACCAAAATGGAACAACTAGGCGAAACAAATACGTGCCTGCACTTTCATTTCCATTTTCACCTTAACTACGATGCGACCTGCCCTCGTGACGTTTGCCATCTCGACGCTGTGCTTTGTCCACAGCTGTACGAACGTGAGCGTCGAAGGCGATGCGACGTACTGCGTCGAGGGTCCCATTTGTGGTGATGAAGGGGATGCTTGCCCCAAAGCAGGCGATGTAGCGGCGGCGGATTGTGTGCCCAACATCAAGAGTTTCGTCTCAAACGGCCAGTGCGTGGCCCCTGTCACGGCCACGTGCCAACGAATCCAGTCTGGCGCTCGTGGTTGCGTGTTCTCGGCGGCATCTCCGTCCACGACCCCCACCGTGACCTCGCTGCTCACAGTCCCTGTCCCGCTCACAACGGCCTCCGCCTTGCCGAATATGAGTGACCCAAATCCAGTCACGGCGCCCGTCAACATGACCAACTCGACCGATGCCACAATCACGTTTCCGCCAGAACCCACGACCGCAGGCTCCCAGTGCGCCGAGAAGTGGAGCCAATGCAACGGCCAAAATTGGCCCTTTGGCGTGTGCTGCAACGACCCGGGCTGGCAATGCGTCAAGCACTCGGACGTGTACTCGCAATGCCTGCCAAACTAGAGTGCCGCGACCAACTTAACAAAACACGTTGTCGATTCGTCATCAGTCCGTTATGGAGCCAAAGTGGATCAGCTCATGGCGGCCAAATCGCCCGACGAAAGCAACGCTGATGATGTACAGTCGTCAGCAGGTTCCACTTGGACGTCGTGGCCATGCTATGGATTCGATGGATCAAAATCATACAACACGAACAGGTCATTTCAACCGTGGAGACTCGGCGAAACGTGCTCGTCGACCAGGAGCATCCAGGGTAAGATGGGAGATGGCGGTGCTGGCGTGCGCATGCGCGGGCGCTGCAGATGAACAAAGAATTCACTCGGTCGGACGTGATGGCATGTGCCTTCTCCGCTCGAACGCATATGTTGCAGATTTATCGAGCAACCTATCGAGCCTGCATGCACTAAAGGACGGACCTCACGTCAACTTACCACCAAACGAATCGGTTGATCGAAATCGCGCGTGTGCATTGACACCAACTGCGCAAAGCTACTGTGACGTCGAGATGACCGAGGGGTCGAAGCGAGGATGGACTGGCGCTTCGATGCCTCGACTGCGCAGGCGCTGGAGAATCGCGCTTTCAATCGCTTGCATCTGCCATCAAATGCACGTTATGACATGGTCGAAACAAGATGGACAGAGTACTAGTGCGTTGAGCGAAGACTCGTGGGCGACCGAAAGCTGTTCCGTGCGAATCGTGAGCATGCCTGAACGCGATGTGACGATGACAATGCTCATGAAATGGATGAGCTCAACCATTGGAATTGCCAAAGAGGACGTCGGTGGAGTATCGATCGCCGATCATAATGAGCTCGTCTGGCCGTACTTGCAGCGCTTGCTGCATTTCGTCGATGCCGCGAGGTTTCTAGGATGGCTCACCTGAGATCCAGTCGTTCCATCCATCGATGTAAGAAGAGCATGGCAAGCACCTTTACTCCATGGCGTAGGACGTTGACTTTGAGCTCGCTCTCGACGCGAGTAGCCCCGTCAAAGTTTGGCAAATCGTCGCTCGACCCCGCCGAATTGGAGAAGACAACGACACGATCCATACCAAAGATGCGCTGGGAGTTGCGCAGTGCATCCTGTCGACAAGATCAGAGTTTACAGCAATGCTGCTAGACGTACTTGAATATGCGGAACGATTTCGTAAGCGTGCGGCACCGTGAGGGTATTGTCCTTGTCGAACACGATGCCCTTGAACCCCATCGCGTGGAGCTGAGCAAACGGAATATCGTTCAAATCTACATTTGGCACGGAGTCGTGTGATGTGCGCTTCATGCGAGATCGATCGTACCCTTCACGGACAGATGCGGCACGAGCAACTTGGGCGACCGCGTCACCGCGTGGATGAACGAACTCACGCCATGCAAGTTGATCCCTTTCATCACCCCGGTTGTTCAAAATGCATGTCCGGAAAACGATGACAATATCCGGATACACGTAACTTGCAACCGCTGTGGGCTTGCGGTGCGGACGGCGCGAAACGCGCACTGCATCGTGGCAAAAGCTAGCATGGCGGTGCCGTTCAGTTGTAGATGCCTTCGTCATGCGAGACCTGAACATAGCTGCGTTGAAAAATCCGATTGAGAGTCGTTCTCAACAATTCTCAAGGCTCCACATTGGACGGCATCACGACAGATCGAGTCTTTGTTAGTGGAATTCCCGCGACCGTGTCAGGAAGACGGAGGTTTGCCAGACGAATGTTGCCCCATACGTCGTGTCCGTCCAAGCTACGACAAAGGTCCGGCCAAAACACGGGAACGTCATGCAGACTCGTGGGCGTGACTCTCTGGTGCATACGCCACACTTCGAAGGTATTCCCGCAGCCACCGCTCAGCGTTGGCGACGGATTTCCTTGTCCACTCCACATAATGCGCTTGAAACGCGGCCCACTTGTCCGAGTCGGACATGGTCGACGTCCCGTCCAGGCCAATGCGTGCCGCGTCCACATTCAACGCGACAAGACGTCCTCGTTGGTCGCGAGCTTGACAACATATAAAGTAGTTTTGGTACAGCAGCACATTCGGCTCGAGTTCGGTCACGACAATCCTGCAAAATATGAAACATAGCACTCAGGAACCATCGTGGACAGGACAAAGAATGCCTCGCGCACCATGCTAACGCGTCGCGAGAGTACCCTGTGATGGGGTATTTGTCGTCGCCAGCAATGTTGCATCCAACGAACGTCGCTCGCCGTCGCTGGGTGTGCAGCCGCCGCAGAAAGTGAATCGGGTTGGACGGGTCTGTCCAATGCCGGCTATACCGGCCGTACCCTTGCATGAACTAACACAGTTGAGATTTGTTCAGAACAGGGAAAAATGCTACCTGTGTGTCGAGATCTTCTTTTTCGATGAATGGGACGGTGTGCTTATCTCGCAAATAGAGCTTGGCCAGGCCTTCTACGACGTCGGGCATGGATCCGTGCAAGATGAGTTGGTGCCGATGCGATGCAATGTAACCAACGCCGTCGTTGGGATCTGGAGCGTGGAAGCGTACATCGAGGAAAGAAGGGTCGTTTGGCGGGAATGCGCACTGGTCGAGAATGCTCGCCGTTTGGTGTAGCATATGATTCGTGATCCATTCGAAGCCGTGCTGCCGTGATGGTTCAGGCAGGACAAGATGTGTATTCCGCCAGGTCGTGGTATTAGCGCGGGGAAAGGCCTGGATGGCACTGTGGTGGTTACGCCACACCGTCATCGCTACAATCAAGACCCTGTTGTCTTCGACGAACCTCGTGAGGTCCTCGTGCAGGGTGATGCTGTCGTCAGCTGCTTCTTTCAACGCGTTGGCAACTTCATGCCACGGAAGACGACGACCACTGCGCAGTGGTTTGTCTCGTTCTTGCTGCTGTGACAAGAATGTCGCTAGCTTGGCTTCTAACGTGTTGACCTTCTCTGTGAGAAACTCGGCTTCGAGCACCATCGCTCGACGATACTCGCGAATCCGATCGCGGTGGAGCTTTTTTCGGAGCATGGACGACTGATCCATGTGCATTGCTGACGATTGCTGCATGTTGTCGTACTTCATCTCTCTTGCCGACGTCTTCCGCAAGTCAGCCACAACAGAGTTGCCGTCGTTCGCCTCCTGGAATGCCCATTGCCGCTTCTTCCGCCCCATGATGGAAATCACGTGGACCGTGGTGTCCAGTGCGCAAGTTGCATTGCTGGTCCAAATCTCCTGTACGAGTAACTTGCACCATTACCATGAATAAAATCACTTTATCTTCGTATCAAAAGTATCCCTTCTAAAACAAAATTTGAGCCATCGCGCTGGAGGTACTTAAATAGAGAACTTTGCACGGCGACAGCGCTACACCTACTACTCCGGAGAAAATGGCGCTCTCTCTGTATACACCACTACGTGCAACCAGAGTGCATACTAGTGGCTGAATAGTGTGGATACGAATGTCCGATTTAGTGTGACACACACTATATAATAGAAGGTGCGTTTGCCAGCATACAGGGAACGACGGAAATCCTTCCCCCGTGGTACTAGTGCAATATCTTGATATTTGTAAACGGTAATATTATTTCGACGTTGGGTTTTGCTGGAAATTTTATTGCATTGTATATTTTCAGC